GCCTTCTTTCAGCACAATTCTGCACAAAAATCTGTTAACTACAGAACTAATTTAGGTGTGTACATATGCACAGCTTTCCTAACATGCAATCAAGAGGACGAAGCAGCCAACTATAGAGCTGACAGCTTCAAACTTGAACAGATTATGGATGGCTGCACAGTTTCGCTGCTAGTTTAGATTATTAAGGGATTCTAATTCAACATAACACAGATGCAGTAAAGCACTTATTCTTCCTATAATTGACTTTCATGGACTCTGGACAAACAACATACTGCGGAACAAGGCACCATATAAAATCAGTGTCAAAGGAAAACATTAGTGCTGTAGATAGAGAAAAACATCCAGTTGTGGGAAGACTGCACTGTCAAATGTCCTTACAGGAGGATGAGAAAGTTACAACCAAATAGACAATTGTTAATTGATCATTTTCTGGGTTTTGAGCACTTAACAGTGTCTCCTTAATGCTGTCTTAAAGTTCAGTTAAACGCAGCAGCCAGCTGTGTGTTGCATGGACTTCCTTCAGTGCACACTTAGTGAGAAAGCTTAGTCCCAGGAGTATCGTGCTTCCACAGAATGCAATTGAGAAGCTGTAAAATGATTGATTTTCATGGGAACATTCAAAGCCACTTCTCACTGAAGGCAATTTCTGAGAATTGTCATCCTTCTACTATTTTGACTGTAGAGCTTTATATAAATTGGTTGCAAGATTTTGTGGTTGTTGCTTTCCTTCTTGAGGGAGCCATTTTTCATTCTTCTTAACAAAAAAAAAAGAAGAAAAAAGCCTTTAAACAAACAAACAAATGACTAAGCTAAGTTCACATTTCAACTCTTTTGTCTTCTCCAGGAAGAGTTTGCTTGGTTTGCTTTCTGGAAGGAAGATTTTATTCTAAAAATTTCAAGTTTTGTGAATAGCTCTAAAAGGGGATACAAATAGAAACGCAAGCATAACAGTGCAGTGGGTAGCTATCACATCACATCATCGAGCTTCATCTTACAGCAAGGAAGCAATAGTAGGGGCCAAAGCTGGGAGAAATCTTTTCCACTGTACTGTAAATGCAGGCAGTGCATCCAAAAATGGTGACCCTACACATGACCATCTAAGAGGCAGTTTGCATGTAACGACCTCTCCTGCTGAGAAAGTGAGTGTAGTGACTGAGAAGTGGCGTATTGGCAACTGGAGAGATGTTGTGTGGCAGACTGCAATTTCACATGGAAACACAGAGGATCTGTAACCTCCGATGCACAATTTAAACTGAAATCCATTGGGCTTAGAGCAACTAGTCTCTCAGCATCCCATTAAAGAGCTGAAATAGTGCATGAAAGTCCCTTGTATTATTATTTCTAGCATCTAAATAGGGATTTGCAGCATTTCAAAAACAGAGACTGAGAAAATTAGTAGTTAGAAGCTGCAAATACATCCTTATTTCCCAAGACCCCATATGAAACCCACATGGGACTTAATCAATGTAAAGATGAGAACGTAAGTGGTTACAGGACTATGCCATGCAATGTTTAAAAAAGTTTAAATGTTGCCTTTAGGCATGGCTTTGAAAGGACTTCAATAGGCTGACTCTTTCTTCTAGCCAAGGAGCTGAAAATGCTGCAGCCACACTTGAAATGCTTCTAAGATTGTAATGCATTCCCCCTAGCAATACAACAGGTACTTTAGACAGGAATGATGTGGGGTTCTTTTGTTGGTAGTGTTTTTTTTTATTTGACCTTCTTCCCCAATAAAGAAGAAACATTCTAAAAACTGGCAATTAGAAGAAACTGATTGCACACAAATAAGATGCTTATGACCGTGAAAATCAACAACAATCACTAAGTGCCCCTGCAAGCTGACAGTTGCCCAAATAAACAGCAAAATGCAGCTATAAGAAGTTTTGCTTATTTACATTGTACAGATCAAATACAAGTTTTCAGAAATTACCTGGGTCCATCTGTGTGCAGGATGCACTTCCATTTGGATCATGGAAAAATGCCTGAAACAACCTCATATAATCTACATGCAGGAGAATTTAAGCTGGTCCATGACCTTGAATTAGATTGCTTGTTACTGCATTCCAGGGACAGCATAGGTCCTGCCAGTGCTTGATGCTGGTTTGACTTTACACACGCTTAAGATAAAAGAAAGAAATCTTTGTTGCATTTCTTTGTACACAAAGGCTTTGAAGCTGAACTCCCACGTGGGTATAAGCACCATGTGATTATTAGGGATTTTAAAGCACAGCAGCTTTTGTGGGATTTTTTTTTTTTTTTTTAAAGAAAAGGAAACAAAAAAGATTCAACAAGCTTTCAGACTTCCAGGAGACTCAACGGGGGGCAGAGCGTATCATGATATTGTTAGACGCTGCCACTCACAGCTCACTCCCAGACAGCTGCAATAACACCTCTTTCACAAATGGCACATGCTAAAACACCTCTGCAGAGCTTTCTACCCAAACCAGTGTACCAGCAAAATCCATTATCACTGTTCAGCTATGTTTTCAAACACAGATCGATCTACTTGTCTCATGTAAGTACCTACACAACTTGAAGCTACCCCGGGGACTTGGCTGGAGCCGGAGCTCCTCAGCTTTATGCCCCCTGCAGTGCTTACCTGCAGCAGCAGCCTATGCATCTCCCTGATGGCTCACTTGACTGGACAAACTGATACCCACTAACACAGAACATGTTCATCACATTAACTGCCTTGCTGTGTTCCCCTAACATCCCCAGGATGCGCTGCACCATCACTCCTTCCTGACTCACATCTTCATCTATCCAGCATGCTAATAACTGACTTGCAACTCCTGGAGCTCTCCACATTCTCTTGCAGTGATGATTTCTGCTCCCTAGGAACAGACTACTATTATATACTAATTTGGTGATCTAAAAGATTCCATTGTTTAAAATCCCAGCAGTGGCTGTACCCAGTGCAACAAAAGCTTAGAAAGGTGGGGGTTTTATTTGTTTGTTTTAAACAGAACTAGAGAAAAAATACAGTACAGAAAATCCAGTGAGTCAGACCTAAATGATGATGATGCAGAAGGAACTATTACTTCATTTGGGGAAAGAAGATGGCTTTTTTGTTTTCTTTTTATTAGGAAAGTTTGTGCCAAAAGGTATTTGAGAGAGAGTCACCTGAACAATACCTATGTGTGAATCTAGGCAGCTACTCCCAGGGGTAATGCAGAACTTGACATCACCAGCTCAAATTTATAATGTGGTGTTTCTTGATCTGTACCTTGGAGGGAATTTTTCTTTAATAAATTTTAGTTGGTTCTTGGGTTTGTTTCTCCCTAACGAGAGCAACACCACCGCAGAGTTTCTAGACAGCTGCAGACATCACTGAGTTTCCTGCTCCTGCTGGTGACAGAGCAGCGCTGCCAGTGCTGGCTTTCAGGAACTGTGCTCCCTCCAGAGACCTCCTTAAAGCAGCACCACACAGGTTCCTAGTTTGACCTTCTTTTATTTTGCTTTCTGTTGCAGTTAAAGCTTTATACTTCTACCTAGATCAGTACTGCAGAGCACAGATACCTGAAAAAACTTAAAACCTATCACAGACTAACTACTAGCTTTTTCTTCCTTTTTAACCAATAGGTCAAAGCAGCATCAGGCTTTGATAACAAATAAATGACCAAACCCTGTCTAAAATAATGCTTTAAAGGATGTTACTAGTGAGGAATTACTTTAGCATGAAGTCTTAAAATAATGCCTGTAGAGACTCACTTTCAGGTTTATGTATCCATAGCAGGCTAGGAATTAAGCAAGCAATACAAAAAATGCAATGACCAGGGCAATACTGGAGGTTTCTTGGTATTTCCAGGGAGATTAAACTTCAACTGCAGGTAGCAGGATGAGACATTTCTGTGCAAATACTTATGCTTTATTTACTAAGCAATTTAAAATACAAAGTTTCCTGTTACTTAGAACGAACACATGTATTTGCTTGTTCAACATCCTGACAATGTCTCTGAAAGCACTCTGGCCTCTCACCAGATTATAGGTAACTGCTCATCTGTATTTTTGTCTCCACCTGGTCAACTCCATTTATGTCAATAGACTTCTCCCAGGGTGTCAAGGAGAATGGGAATGCTCTGGATGAATTTTGGCATTTCTTGACAAACCTCAGACACTACAGTTCTCCTGGTATTAACGCATGGACTTTTATCCTTTTGGGGAGTGGGAAAAGTTGGAATTCACCTTGACTTCTCTTTGGCTTCAGCTATCAAATGTGCATAAAATCATTATCAGAAAAGAAAAGATCAAAAGATCTGTTTGTGCCTCACTGAGACTTGAGCAGTGGTATGACTCGAGGGGCAAAGGCACAGTCATGAAGCATCACTACCCTGGAGGCATTAAAATATCTCTATGCAGCTGCTCTGCCAGAAAAGCTACTTGGTTTGCTGAAGTCCTTTCAATGAGCTGAGCCCAAGGCAATATTTTAGAAGGAAACTGCCTCTTTAAAAATTAAAAGGAGTTATTTTTGCATCATTTGACTAGGATTGCTTTAAATGTGTTCCTTTATAGGTCACGTCCACTGCCAGAAAAATAATGCATTCACAACTGATTCTATTCAGACCAATTTCTTAAAAAATGCAGATTGCTTTAGTGCGTAACTCCTCACTCATATACAGAGGATAGCCTATTATACCTGCAAAAGCCATGAAATTCCAAGGGTTTGCTTGAGTTCAGGACAGGTCCTTTGCAATCTGCAGAGATTTTTCCAAGTGACTGCACAATGACCAACAAAACACAACTTCTGACTCCAGTAAAGGATTATCCCTTGGCAAAATTTGCCACAAATACTGGTGAAGCATTCCTTCCCCCAGTCCCCACATGCCTTGAACTGGAACACTTTTTCAGTGACAACAGCAGAATATCTCAAATATTCTTATGTATTTTATTCAGGCTTACCATAGTGTTTTCTGAAATCTCCCAGAGCTCATGACTGGCTTAAACACATATGAGAAAGGCCCTATGGCATACGTGGTTTGACAAAAGCCAGTTCTCCTCACCTCATAAAGTGTAATGATGCCATTTGTCTCATTTGGAGGCTTCCACTGAACGTAGATCTTCTCTTCAAAAGGTCCTCCCTGGATGGATTCCAAGGGAACAGGTCCAGGAACTACAGAAGAAAAAAAAAATAGCAAACACAATGCTGTGTTAGAAGCTACCACAAGCTCCAGCTGCCACACACATCTGAAGACACCAAGAGACCATCAGGCAAAGTTCATTGCTGAAAATAAAAAATAAAAATAATAGTAATTAAAGAAAATCACTAAGTGAGAAACAAAATCAGAATCCATGACAATGCAAAGCTGGCTCCAGTATGCCTTTATCCCACAGTAGAAAATCTTTGAGTACTTAAAAAGGAACCAAAACTACAGAAAATGAATTTATTTGTTTATCCACTAAACCACCTGTAAGAGTTTTCCTTGCATAAACACACAGACTTATGCTTCCTGCTTCCATACAACATCACAAAATAGATGTTTAATTTTACCCCAAATTAAGCATTTATTTTTAACCAGTATTGCAGTATGTTCATATTTTTCTAAGCTTCTCTTCTATTCATATATTAAGATGCAAAAAATAAATATTTTAAATAAAAAGAACTTAAACAAGTGAAACCAATTCAACTTCACCTCAAACACACCTATTTGCATTAGTGCAAATAACAGTAATTTACACTCTGCAGATAAAGCTTGATGTACAGAAGGTAATGTAAGCAGTAATATTTGCAGTTCTCAGAGAACAGTGCATGAAGATCTTCCCGCTTGCATGCATTGCTGCACCACTGGATAACCTCATGGCACGTCCTTGCAGCGCAGTGCAGTGAGGCATTGAGCCACCTCAGCAAATTGGCCAGAGGAGAGCACCAGCAGTGCTCACTGTTCCATCTGGCAGCGCTGCGCTCAGCTGGTCTGCACTGCTTTTATGGAAGTCTTCTGACTCACTGAGGCAGGAACATAACCTAGGCCTGTCCTTACCACGTGGAAGAGTGATGAGGTGGCACGCTGTTCCTTTTGTCTGAGTTCTGATACAACCTTCTGATCATTTAAATGTCTCTTTTCTGTGCTTTAGACTCCCCAGGCCATCTCATCATCACTGTAACATTGCAGAAATGTCCACAATGCCCACACCATGTCAAGAAGTGTAGTTACAGGGAGTAGCCTTTCTTTAATTCTCTCACTGTTCTGGAATACAACATCCTTGTATTTCCAGTGGAGCTGTGTTTTATCTAGAAAAAGTTCACCAATATCGGGTCATTAACAAACTTGACACTGCTGCATCAACAAACTGCTTGAGAGTTGGAAGAGTAGCACATCCACAAGGAAGCAGGATTTGCCCTTCAAACACACTGTGAGGATCAGTAATAACGTAGGCAGTGTAGCCTCCTTCAAAAATTATTTGCAGTGAGCAATTTCAGCTCCTCTTCCAGCTCCTTTGGACAATGCCTTCCCTATCTCATGCTTTCCACCTGGGAACATTACAGATGATATATGCACATGACAACTCAAGGCATTACACAGGTGGACAAGGCAGGACACGAATAATTCTCTTTTAAAGGCTTAGTGTGCTCTCTGCTAATTTGTAAGACTGCAGTGCTGTGTATTTACATTTTGCTTACAAGCTAAATCTTGTCCATCTGCCTGTCTTCCATCAGATACACAGGATGGAGAGTGTTTGAGAACAGAATCATTTGGGCACAGTGCTAAAGGACAGTTACACTCAGTAGGAAATATACTGCGTCCTCCTTCACCTACACAACAGCAAAGCTCCATCCACCTAAACAGCCAGATTGCACCTCGGCATAAAGATGCTATGAGCTGCACACCTTTATCAATATGAAAGATTGATTTCCCTAGTTAAGGACAACATAAGATTTATGTTTCAAGATGGCTACAAGGCCACCTAAAAATCCACCTACCCAAGCAAAATTTTAATGCTGTGAAAGATAACTAAGTACACTTCCAAGCCTGACTGATAAAAACCCCACTCATTTTTTCAGAAAGATCTGCCATCCTCTTAAGTCCCTTGTATGATGTATTAGACGTCTGGAATCACTTTCAGCTGAGAGAAACTTAGGAAAGCAACTTCTTATTGCTCTGGCAGAGGAAGAACATTTCTTTTTAACACTAGACAGAATGGAAGCTTGTAGTTTAGGAGAGTTCTTAGTCTGAAATAGCTCAGATGGGATAATAACACTTTAAAGCTTTCCATCAGTACTTCTTGAAAAGTGTTCTTTTGTCTCGGAATGGAAGAGTTAGCACCAGAAGAATTTAACATCCGAGGCATATATAAAATGCTACATCTAGAAGGTCAGCATTAAGAAAAAACACACTTTAGAAAGGAAGACATTATAACTCTTTGGGGACTGTGATGTAAAGGAACCAGAAAAAAAAAAAAGAAAAGACTAATGTCAGAATTATATTTGCCCATATGATAAAGGAAGCTGCTCTGTAGGTCCTGGGTAGTTCAGAACACAACTTTTACAGAATTAAACCTACTGCTGTTCAGTAACTGCTCAAACTGGTGCTTGCCATTTCCAAACACTTCAGGGAGTCCTGCCCTTTCAAGAACACTGCTGTAAAATGGAAATTATTTATACCTACAAATTTAACTTGCGTAACATACATCCTGTCCAGAGAAGCCATTTATAAGTCTTCTGGGACAGAAGATTATGCTGTTATTTACAGTTCAAAAATATTTCAATGCCTTCACAAAAAAAGAAGCTAGCAAGCAAACCCAGCATAACTTACCATCCTCCTCAGTCTGCACAACCAGCTCCTCACTCTCCATTTTGCCTTCCGGATTAGAAAGGGCCAGTCTCAGCCTGATGGTCATGAACGGCCGAAGACCTCGCAAGGTGTAGTGGGAAGATGTTTGGATCAGTTCCTCTGCCTCAAATTTTTGCTGGTTAAAGACATACTGGTACTGGACTGTGAGATTGTAGCTGTGGCAGCGGGTCACCGCATAACCAAAGGGCTCCCACTGCAATGTCAGCTGCCGGGAACGGATATCAACAACTTCTACATTCTGTGGTCCATGAACAGGATCTGTGAGGCAAAGAGAAAATAAATAACAAGAGAAATAACAGATTAATTCAACTTTGAAAGGAATCGGCCACCATTAATATGCCTCCTGCCATATTGCCAGAGTATCTGGGTCCCTCCCAATTCTGAGTGCTCTTGCCTTTACAATGTAAAAGCGATATTACGTTTTTGAGAGAAGGAACAAAGGCAAAGGGAAATTAAAGTCTGACCCACTAATGTATTCTAGCTGCTGAACCATCAGTGAAAATCCTGTCATAGAACAGGATCCTGTCACTGAACAGAGGTCATGCTTCTGAGTCCTGTGAAATGTCACCAAACCCAACAATGGCAGCACGATTTAAGTACTGCTTAAAGCTGAAGCTTAAAGCTGCGCTTTCTTCACTTTTACACACACACTCCTTCCCAATACCTCAGTGAATGCAGACCTACCTAAGTGATGCAAGAAAATAGCAGTCAGAAGAGAAGGAACAGGCTCAGGTCTCTCACCACCATTACACTCCTGCACCCTCCTTGAAGCCCCAAACCCACTCTGCTCTGACTGAGGCACAGGAGTACAAGAACCAAGACGTACACTGCCAGACATCCTCTGCCCTAGTGCTGATGCTCCCTCCATTTTTAATTCCTGGGAGGCACTCTTGGATGTTTTGGCAATGGCATACACGAGCAGACCATGCCCCTCTTTGAGTAAATTTTGTGAGCCAGCTCAACCTTATGCCACTTTTATTTCAGAGCACATCAATGCTTTAGTCTCAACAAAGTTTCATCATCCTGTATTATTCTTTCTACAGTATCTGTCTGAGGTAAAGTTTGAATATTCATGTGTAAGAATCATTTTCACCTGCTGTTCCTTAATTTATTTTTAACAGCATAACTCAGAAGCTTTGACTACAGACTTTGCCCTTTTTATGAAATATAAATGCATGCGTCGTTACTCATGCAGATATAAAGAATGAAAGATGAGTTAGTAAAATCAGTGTTTGAGACATGTCAGATGGTAATAACACGACAAGTGTCAAAGTTTGTTTATCTGACATTTCTTCAACTCGGCGAGCTCATTTGCTTTGTTGTTCAATATATATCTAAGAAAAATAATTAGAAAATACATTATTCCACACATTTTGATAGATGTTGCAATTTAGTGTTTTGCCCACTTCTTCCATTCTGTTCCTTTCACAAGCTGAAATTATAAGGGAACATTTTTATGGAAATAAAAAAAGTTATTGGGACTCCAAAATAGAAGTTGCACTACTCTGGAAGACAGTAAAAGTGGAAGAAAATCTTTCCACTGATTCTTGAAGGAGCACAACATCCCTACTGTGAACAATCTACTAATGGGCAAACAAAAAACACACTGCAGCAAGGAGTTTATTCATAGCTTTATGCCCTTCTTATGTTGTGGCACCCAGAGCACAGCAGGACAACCCCTTCCCTCGCCTGGCCAGCAGCACTGGGCCTGATGCACCCCAGGGGACGGCTGGCCCTTCTGGCTGCCAGGGCACACTGTGACTCGTGGACAACTTGCTGCCAGCCACAACCCTCAGGTCCCTTTCCGTGGGGCTGCCAGGGTTGTCCAAGCTGCACAGCCCAGCACTTCTCTTCTTTGTGCAGACAGAAACTACCCTCAAATCTCTCAAGACTTTGGAGCCTCTGTACTCTCAAGGCAATCAGTGCTCCTCCCAGTTAAGCATCATCCACAAATTTAATGAAGCTACAGAGGCGGCTGTTCCTTTGGAGAAGCAGAAGACTTTGGTTTGGATGGGAAGAAGGGCCAAAGTGCAGCATGAAGGTCTATTCCAGTTGCTCCATTGGGACTTTCGTTTCAACAGTGGACCATAGCCAAATTTAAAAGGACAACACAAAATAATAACAATAAAAACCTAAGCAATTTTTTTAAAAAGCAAAACCAGTCTGTGCCTCTCCATTTGGGTACCTGAGGGTCTGCCTGGGGACTGCCCAGTGCAGCAGTATGCCAAGAGCTCCCTGCAAGGTCTGTGCACTTTTGGGACAGCCAACAGCTCCTCCCAGCTTGAGCACTACTTGAACACATACATACACGTTTGAAATAGGACAGTTTTTAAAGGATGTGGGGTCTAAATCTAGTGACTGAATCTGTTTCCAGATAAGCCATGTCATTTCTCTAGCAATCAGAAAACACCTTAAAGGAAATTCTCCAGCACACAGTGTCTTTACATATATATACATATATTTAGAAATCAGAGAGTTTGTATGCATGTATATATGGACACTTATTCATAACAGTTGATCATTGCTTTACTATAAGACCACAGAAAGAACATTTCTGTAGATTTATTGTATACGTAATTAAGCTGAACCAAATAATGTTTCTGTGACAACTTCCAGCCTCTGAAACTGTAACAATTAGCACAATCCTGGCTTTGGAAGCATTCAAAGAAAACCAAAACCAGCTGAATGTCCTTCAGAGCCTTCCAAGGTAAACAACTCCTGACTCCAAACCAGATTGGGACTGAGACACTGCAAAAATGTCATGTCTTGGCAGTGGTGCAGCTGAAGATGGCAATTAACCTCCATGCTAATGTTATAGCATTTTTAAAATTAGTTATTTAAGTCCGTCATGTTATAGAATGAATGGGCAATGAGAGGGTGTTTGGTTTATTGTCGTCAGGTGTGTTGACTACTGGTGAGTAAGAAATGAGACTGATTGAGCATCAGCTCATTAAAGTGCACGTCCAAAACCTTTGCTGCGGATGATTATCTGCATTTCCCAGTTATCTCACCCTGTTCACATTAGCCCTTTCATTTCTTAGTTTCGCAAAACTAAGTCTCCCAAGCTGGTCCATGTTGAACAATCTCAAATTCTAACTCCGTAATTTTATCATAAATGCTCTATGATATATCCTGATTTATTTTTTTTTCCCAGCACAATGTTTTTAGTAGAGTAACCTGGCTATGAACAGCAGGTGGGTTTGAATTATAAGGCAAGAAACTAAACTCCAGATTTCAGATATTGTCCAGAGACCCCACTACACAAACACAGAATATCCTGCATTATCCCAAAAGCTATTGTTTTTCAGGCTTATGTCATTAAAATGTGAAATTTATCAGTCCAGTGGTGTAGGGTTGTGGCAGTGAGGTGGGAAGTGATTCGAGTGTTGCAATGAAAACAGAAATGGGATGCAAGTTTCAGAAATACCCATATCCTCAGGAGATTCCAAAAGTGTAGAGGTTTAGCATGTAATGGCCTTCTAGATTCTTTAGCCAAGAGGAATGTATAAATAAGTAAAAACTATTTAAACCTTAGGTTCAGAGAAGGAGAAATGAGGCTGGAATGACATCAGTAAATTGAAGCACAAGACCTGCAAAGCTTTATATTCCTTCTGGCACCCTTATCTCATCTTTCAATCTCCTTTTCCTGGAAGCTAAGACTATGTAATTCTGAAAATGTTTTCCTGTTGCCACACCAATTTCCTCCACAGCCTAAGCCACTGAAACTTATTGTTAAAGATGAGATTCTGTATTGTTTTTAAAGGGCAGCAGTCTTACTACTTTCCCAGTTTAATTCCTCCTGCACTTCAGCTTTGCAAGTACATATACTTCTTTTTCAATCTTAGTCTCAAAAGGTCCGTAGTACCCATTTCCCTGGGTCTGCTGTATAACATAAACTACTTTTCATAGTGCAATCACTTATTTTCCCTAAAAGAGTAAACTAAAGCTTAGCAGAAGGAGATCTGGGGGTGCTGGTGGCAGCAGGTTCAACATGTGCCAGGAGTGTGCCCTAGAGGGGAAACCATATTTTGGGCTGCATTAAACACAGCATGGCTGTCTCATCAAAAGAGGTGTTTCTCCTGCTGCATTTAGCACTGATGTGGCCTCACTTTGAGAACTGTGTGCAGTTCTGGGTTCCACAATATGGAAAGGATGCCAAAGTCCTTGAAAGAGTCCAGAGGAGGATAACAAAGATGTTTAGAGGGTTGGAAGACACATTCCAGGTAGGAGAGACTGAGGACATGTGGGCTGTCCAGTCTGGAGAAAAGGAGGCTGAGTGGCAACATCACTGCTGTCTGCAGTGATGGAGGGGGAGGAGGGGGAGCAGAAGGTGGTGCTGAGTTGTGATCATGGGAACTGGTGGCAGGATGGGAACGGCACAAAGCAGTGCTGGGGAGAGTCAGACCAGGCATGAAGAAAAACTGCCCTACACTGCAACAAGACTCCCAGCAAGGGGGCTGTCAGTGATCAAGAGGAAACTGGATCATGCCCTCATTAATATGCTTTACTTTTTGGTTAGCCCTGAAGAGGTCAGTTGAACTAGATGATATCTGTACATTCTTTCCAACAGAACTATTCTATTCTCTATAATCTTCTACTATTGGAAATACCTGAAGAGTGGACAAACTGCTCCAATTCTGTATAGAATACAAAAATTATAGCTTTCCAATAAAGCAAGGAGAAAACTAGAAATTATTATTTGGCTAGTTGAAGAGAAGTTGCTAATATAGATCTCAACTTCAGCTGTACAGAAAAACTACCAAAGCAAGACAGAAACAGTCTGACCCAATCTGAATAGTGATGGATCATATATATTAAGACATCAGTGGAACCTGCATATACTGAAGTTTCTACATGTACTGAGACCTTGGAAAACCCATGAAAATTCTTAACAGGCAGCAGCAATGAAACAGCTGTCACTGATCTATTAAAACTAGCCTTGAATCCGTACAAAGAAAATCACAGTCTCTGGGATTTCACTGTGCAAACACTTCATTTTCCTTTCAGCCTGACTGAACTATTAATTACATCAAAATCAAGGACCAAACAGTATTTTTTAATACTGTATTTCTCACCAACACTTCCACACCTATCTTTACTTCAGTAGGATGCTGCAAGATGTAGCTGGCCAGGAACCACCATTCAATGTCTTGCTGAACTGTGATAGCCCAGTGGCCAAGATGGAAACAGACTCCAGCAGATCATTCAGATCCACGTAAACAGATGCTTTTGATCCACTGGTGACTGCTACTGTTCAG